GACGCATTTGGCCCCTTCGACCCCCGCTTCCCTGTCCTCCGCGCCTTCACCTCGCCGCCTCCCCCCTTCTTGTGCTCATCCTCCGCGTCCTCGTCTCCCTGCCCCGCCCCCGTTCCTCTTCCCGTGCTCCTCCCCATCCCATTCGTTGTCGTCGCCGCCCTCCTGACTAGCCTTCTAGGGCCCGGTCGCCCAGGCAAGCAGGTGGCCGCGAGTCGTTCGCCGTCCAGGAGAACGTGCAGCGCTGGCCAGAGGATGAGGATGGTTTGCAGGGCTGGACCTAAACGCTGTGTTGCTGCACTTCGGCTGTATCTTCTTTTTCGTCTTGGGAGGGAGGTACGGGAAAACAGGTAGAACAAAGCGAGAGGCAAAACGAAAGCAATGCGAAAAACCACGTTTATGTCCAGCCCCGATGGCTTGGTCCCAGCCACCGTTGCACCACTCTGCCCCGAAGGCCAAGAACCACGCTGGGCGGCAGCGAAGACCAAACGTAGAAATGGGCACTATGCCTAAGTCGGGCACGTCCCTCTAAAGGAGGAATGTTCAAAACAAAAGTCAAACATAGTATGGGGACGATGTTTCGAGTACTTTGGGCCATTTTGGATATTTGTTTCTGGCGCTTTTTCAATTTTTCGCCCAAAATCCGCCTGTAGGGGGACATGCCCGACCTAACACTATGCCTTGCGTTGGGTGCCAGGTACTTCGTCTGCCGAGCCAGGGCCCGCATGTTGGGCTCGAGGCACTCGCGGTGGCCTTCGTCGAGGGCCTCGGCTGGGCGCGCCGCGCCTGCCCCGCCCCCCCCCAGGCGAGGCCCTCAGTTGGGCGGAACACTTCGCGGAGACGGCGCGGAGGTGTCCAGTGCCCCCGCCACAACCAGGCGAGGCCCCGAGTCGGGCTGGGCACTTCGCGGGAACGGCGCGGAGGTGCCCAGTGCCCCTGCCCCCAGGCGAGGCCTTCAGTTGGGCGGAACACTTCGCGGAGACGGCGCGGAGGTGCCCAGTGCCCCTGCCCCCCAGGCGAGGCCTTCAGTTGGGCGGAACACTTCGCGGAGACGGCGCGGAGGCGCCCAGTGCCCCCCCTAGGCGAGGCCTTCAGTTGGCGGAGCACTTCGCGGAGACGGCGCGGAGGCGCCCAGCGCCCCCCCCCAGGCGAGGCCCTCAGTTGGGCGGAACACTTCGCAAGGACGGCGCGGAGGTGTCCAGTGCCCCCCCAGAACAGGTTATGTAGGACTTCGCGGAGACGGCGCGGAGATGCCCAGTGCCCCGCCCCCCTCCGGGCGAGGCCTTCAGTTGTGCGGAATATTTCGCGGAGACGGCGCGGCGCAGAGGCGCCCGGCGGCCCCCCCCGGGCGAGGCCCTCAGTTGGGCCCGGTGCCTCCCCCCCCCCCCAGGCGATGTCAGGTGGGCGGAATACTTCGCGGAGACGGCGCGCAGGCGCCCAGCGCCCCCCCCAGGCGACGCCTTCAGTTAGGCGGTGTTTTTCGCGGAGGCGGCGCGGAGGCGCCCAGTGACCCTCCCAGGCGAAGCCTTGAGTTGAGCGGAACACATCGCGGAGACGGCGCGGAGGCCCCCCTCCATGGGAGGCCCTGAGTTGGACGGGGCACTTCGCGGAGACGGCGCGGGGGCGTCCAGCGCCCCCCCCCGCCCCACGCGAAGCCCTCAGTTGGGCGGAATTCGCGGAGACGGCGCGGAGGCGCCCGGTGACCCCCCCAGGCGAGGCCCTCAGTTGGGCGGGGCACTTCGCGGAGACGGCGCGGAGGCGCCCAGTGCCTCCCCCCAGGCGAGGCCCTCAGTTCGGCGGGGCACTTCGCGGAGACGGCGCAGAGGCGCCCGGTGCCCCCCCCCCCCCAGGCGAGGCCCTCAGTTGTTGAGCGGGGTACTTAGCGGAGACGGCGCGGAGGCGCCCAGTTTCCCTCCCTCCAGGCGAGGCCCTCAGTTGGTCGGAACATTTCGCGGAGACGGCGCGGAGGTGTCCAGTGCCCCCCCCCGCCCCCAGGCGAGGCCCCCAGTTGGGCGGAACACGGAGGCCCCCCCCCGCGCGAGGCCTTCAGTTGGGCGGGGCACTTCGCGGAGACGGCGCGGAGGCGCCCCGTGCCCCCCCCCCCGAGCACCCCTCAGTTGTTGGCCGGGGTGCTTAGCGGAGACGGCGCGCAGGCGCCCAGTGCCCCACCCCCCGGGCGAGGCCCTCAGTAGTTGGGCGGGGCACTTCGCGGAGACGGCGCGGAGGCGTCCAGCGCCCCGCCCCGCCCCACGCGAAACCCTCAGTTGGGCGGAACAATTCGCGGAGACGGCGCGGAGGCGCCCAGTGCCCCCCAGGCGAGGCCCTCGGTTGGGCGGGTTATTTCGCGGAGACGGCGCGGAGGCGCCCAGTGCCCCCCTCCCCAGGCGAGGCCCTCAGTTCGGCGGGGCATTTCGCGGAAACGGCGCGGAGGTGTCCAGGGGGCCTTCAGGCGCGGTGGCCGCCGCTTCGGCGCCGCTTCTGCGGGCTTCCTCGGGGCGCTGCGCGGCTCGACTCGCGCGCGCCCTCCCCCCCGCGGCTCGGGGCGCCCAGCGGTTCTGCGCGGCCCGCGAGAGGTCTCGAGCTTGGGCCTGGCGTTGCGCGTGCTGCCGACGGGCTGACGAAGGGGCGCCTGCATGTATGAGCCGTGGTCCAGCCGCGCGGGACAGATTCCCAGGCGGCCGAGCCACATGCGCTCTTGCTGTTTTCTATTGTTTTCTTGGGCGTCTGTGTTTGTTCCTGCACGCGCGCGCGGTTGCTGTGCTCCTGTGACTGTACGTGCGGGGCCACATGTGTTATTCCTGCTGCGCCCTGGTTTTTTTACCCTCGTTCTCCCTGGAGTCCAGTCCCTGGGTGCCGAGTGCTCAGTGTGGACATGTTGCGTAATTTATTTATTGACATGCGCCAGGGCCCCTCGCGTTGATCCTGGTCGCCTTCACGTGGTCTCAGCCCCATGCCATTTGCGCCTCGTGCTGGCCTGTTCGGGTCGACTAGCGGTTTGCTTGCACTGCCATGGTTTTTCTGCAGGTGCTGGTGCGGTCTTGGTCATCTGAGTTCGAAAGTTGGTGAGTTCTGTGACGCGTTGCAGCAGTTTTCCTCGTCGTCCCTTTTCCTCACTGGTTGTGATACCGGCGATGGGAGTGCCACCCTCGGGGACACCGCTTCAAGCCAAGTCGAGGGAAGACCAGGAGTTGTTTTCTGCGGCCCTCCGTGCCGCAGTCGAGCGGCGGGGGCGCTTAGCCTGCTTTGATGTCTCCGACCTTCGCACACCTCTGTCGTCGAAAGTTTGGCAGAGTACTTGTCTTGGCGTCGCTCTGGCTTGTGCACTTCTCCCCGCGAGGGCAGCGCCAGAAAATGTGGACCATTTTGGAGCATCTTGGACAATAGTGGGGATAAACGCGCACGAAACCAAACAACGCACCTGGGATGGACGTCCGAGCGATGGCAATATTGACCGCACCGAAGAAAATTCAGTGCATCAAATGTGTTGCATCACGCCCTCTCGCCCCAAGTCCCCCCAACAAGTCCTTGCGGCCATTTTTCCATCAAGGAAACGCCCCCTTTCAAAAGTCGGCATCATGGGCCTGCAGTGTTTGTAATGATTCAGTTCTGACAGACAACTGCCCTCCATGTTTCAGCAATAGTGCATGCTAACATGTATGATGTATGATCATAATATGTAGAAGAATATAAAGTGGGAGTCGCGTGTTGGAAACATAACCGCCCTGCATCAATGCAGCTGTGATGCACTGTTACACTCTGGCAGTGCAGCTTGAACAATCGAGAGTTCAACTTTGGCACGAACCGCCACCAATCGTTGTAACATATGTAAACTTTCAGTTCGAATGTGCGCGGCGCTACGGCGAGAGCCGAACGTTGAAAACACTCTGTCTGGAGGCGAGTGTGCTCTGAGCTGGGGCGAGAGCCACGTGTTGAAAACCAGCCGCCCTCCATCTGCGTAGTTGTTAAACAGGGCAAGCATCAGGACCATCAGCGGTGGAAGGCCTTCCAGCGAACCGCAAGGCCCGCCCTGGCGATATGCCTCGTGGTTGGACGGGGACAAATTATGAATCGAGTGACCTTCGGCTATGCCGCCACCGCTCGTGGGTCATGGACACGGTAACCCTTACGGGATATTTGGTGTCTCTTGGGAGGCCTCTTGAGAGCCTATGAGAAGCGTTTTTGTGGCCTCTTGGAGATCTATTGGGGCCTCTTGGGTGCTTCGGGTGGCCTCTCGGGGGCCCGCTGGTGGTCCTAGGGGGCCATCTTGGGGGAAAGGGCCCGAACTGTCAGTTCGGGTTCTTCCTCTTGGGTTCATTTTGGAGGCTTTTTGGGCCATCTTGGGGGCAACGGGGGTCGACCTGCTTCGTCTTGGACGCTCGTACGACCAGGAAGCCGAGAATGCTAACATGCAAGTTGTGGAGTTTAGACGATTTGGGCTTTCGGTGTGGCCACCACGGCCTCCAAAAAGGCCCAAGAGACGCCCAAGACGAGCCCTGGGGGCCAGCTTAGAGTGTGAACTCCCAGCCACGCTCCCGAGTCATCTGGAAAAGTCGCGCGGCGATCCCTGGAAACGCGCGGCCGCTCCCAAGAATTCTGGGAATGCGGGCTCTGGGCCTCTTGAAGAACTTTTACGCTACTCAGCACTGAGAACTTGAAGTGACTTGACGACACCTCACTCAGTGCCTACGACGCGGTGGCGGATGAGGAAAAGCGACGATGGAGGAGGAGGAGGCAGAAGAGGCAAGGACGATGGGGAAGCGGAGGAGGGGCCAGAGGAGGAGGAGGAGGAGGAGGAGGAGGAGGAGGAGGAGGTTTGTTCTTGCTGACCGACTGCGGTGGATGGCGCAAGTACGGGAAAGTCGCACTCGCGCCATCCGCCGGACGGATAGTCTAGGCAGCCGTTGTTGCTGTTGAGGTTTCGCTCCGCTCACCCGCGTGAGCGCCTGTGTATGCCCCGCCCTTCCTCGGCATGGATTTGGCTTTCTGTGAGGGGAGCAGGGCAGGTTGCCGCGGTGATCCTTGAGCCCGTGGTGGGCAACTCCGGCTTCATCCCGCCAACGAAGGAATTCTTGCAGGACCGCACAGCGGCGAGCCAAGTATTGATCAGGGAGAGACGTGAGGGAGAGTGGGGCAGGAATGGGGCGCGAGGAGGATGATGGTGTGGACGAGGACGAGGACGATGATGGATGATCATGATGTTTTTATATGTTTTTGCTGACGATAACGATGACGACGACGAGGAAGGGAAGGAGGAGAAGGAGGATGAGGAGGAGGAGGAGGAGAGTGGTGGTTGTGGTGGTGGCGATGATGCTGCTGCTGCTGATGGTGATACTGCTGCTGCTGATGATGATGATGCTGATGCTGATGATGATGCTGCTGATGATGATGATGGTGACAACTATGTTGTCGATGATGATGATGCTGACGATGACGATGATGACGAGGATGAGGATGAGGATGAGGATGAGGATGATGATGATGATGATGATGATGATGATGATGATGGTGGTGATGATGATGCGGATGATGATGACGATTATGATGATGATTATGATGATGCAACATGCTGATGATTATGTTGATGATGGTATGTTCTTCCTGTTTATGATGATGTTGACGTTGATGATGATTATGATGATGCTGATGATTTTCCTGAAAGTGAAGTAGATTATGCTGCCGCTGCGGCAGAAAAATATGAAGAGACTAGGTTTTGCCATAATAAGAGAACATTGATAATCTTTGAATGTGAACTAAGAAGAGCAATCGGAGGAGGAGGAGGAGGAGGGAGAGGAGGAGGAGGAGAAGAAGGGGGAGGAGGAGCAGGATGGCGATCATGTTGATGCTGATGACCATGATGATGCTGATGATGATGATGATGCTGATTACGATGATGCTTATGATGATGCTGATGATGATGGTGGTGGTGATGATGATGATGCTGCTGATGATGATGATGATGATGATGGTGATGGTGATGATGATGCTGATGATGATGACGATGATGATGCGGGTAATGGTGATGGTGATGATGCTGATGATGACGATGATGATGATGCTTGTGATGATGCTGATGATGATGGTGATGATGATGATGATGATGATGGTGATGATGATGGTGGTGGTGGTAGTGATGATGACGCTGATATGATGTTGATGATGGGGACATGATGATGGTGATGATGCTGCTGATGATGATAATGGTGATGATGTTGATGTTGATGTTGATGATGATGACGATGATGATGATGATGATGATTATGATGCTGATGATGATGATGCTGATGATGATGTTGATGATGATGCGGAGGCTGATGATGATGATGATGCTGATGATGATGATGGTGGTGGTGGTGATGACGATGACGATGCTGTGTGATTATGATGCTGCTGCTGCTGATGATGATGATGCTGCTGCTGCTGAACATTATGATAATGATGATGTTGCTGATGATGATGATGATGATGATGTTGGTGGTGGTGGTGATGCTGATAATGCTGATGATGATGATGACGATGATGATGACGATGATGATGATGATGATGATGATGATGATGATGATGATGATGATGATGATGACGATGATGATGATGATGATGCTGATGATGATGATGATGCTGATGATGATGATGATGATGATGATGATGCTGATGATGATGATGATGATGCTGATGATGATGATGATGCTGCTGCTGATGATGATGATGATGATGATGATGATGATGATGATGATGATGATGATGATGATGATGATGAGAGAGGAGGAGGAGGAGGAGGAGGAGGAGGAGGAGGAGGAGAGAGGTGCCTCCGGGGCGGCGGTGCTTCCTCTGCGGTCCGCCCGCCGCGGCTCGACCTCTGCCCCCGAGAGCTCTGGCATCGGCGCCGTGCACCAGGCGAGGAGCCGCCTCGTCAGTGGACTGCCGAGAGACAGGGAGGGGTACAGGGGGGAGGGTGGGGGAGGGAGGGGATACAGGCAGGAACTTTTCGAAGGAAGAGTAAGTGCAATACGCATACGTAACACTTTCGGAGCTCCGCGCGAATTTGTTGGATCGGCGCGGGGGGAGGGGGGAGATGCGGGGGGGGTGGCAGGGGTGAGGGGGGTGGGGGGAAAGGGAGGAGGGAGATCCAAAAGTTCCCGACCGTATGGGGGGGAGGGGGTGGGGCAGGGGAGGGGAGGTGCCGATACACCGCCGCGGCCCGACCTCTGTCCCGAAAGCTTCGGCGTCAGACGCAGCGCCGTGGGCCAGACAAGCAGCCGCCTCGCCACTCGACTGCCGAGAGGAGGGGAGGGTTGGACAGGGGGGAGGGTGGGGGGCGTCGTCGTGGTCTCTCTCTCTCTCTCTCTCTCCTCGCCGCCTGCTTCCTCTTTCCTGCCGTTGCCATTGCTGCCCACACATTGCATGGGGCATTTGGACCACGATTTGTGACTTCTGCAGATAGCATGGCCAGACCTGTGCAGAACATCACATCACATCACCTGAACAAAACAGGACAGGTCTTCATATCACTTGAACAGAGCAAAACAGGGAGAGGGTTTGGGAGCGAGGTGATGAGGGGCAGGGGAGTCAGGCAGGTCGGCGGCGAAATCCGAACCCTCCCCTCGCCGATCAACGGTTCAGGCAACTCGATGGGCGGCGTGGGTAGGGCTCGGAATTCGCCGAAGCCGTGGCGACATCCGAACCCTGGCCGCCTCCCGTCGATCCGAGAGAATCGACGGCTGGCGGGGACGACGCCACCTAACAGGCCATCGAGGAGGAGGAGGAGGAGGAGGAGGAGGAGGAGGAGGAGGAGGAGGAGGAGGGGGAGGGGGAGGGGAGGGGGAGGGGGAGGGAGGGAGGGGGGGGGGAGGGGGAGGGGGAGGGGGAGGGGGAGGGGGAGGGGGAGGGGGAGGGGGGGGAGGGGGAGGAGGAGGAGGAGGAGGAGGAGAGGAGGAGGAGGAGGAGGAGGAGGAGGAGGAGGAGGAGGAGGAGGAGGAGGAGGACGAGGAGGAGGAGGAGGAGGAGGAGGAGGAGGAGGAGGAGGAGGAGGAGGAGGAGGAGGAGGAGGAAGGAGGAGGAGGAGGAGGGGAGGAGGAGGAGGAGGGAGGAGGAGGAGGAGGAGGAGGAGGAGGAGGAGGAGGAGAGGAGGAGGGGGAGGGGGGGGAGGGGGAGGGGGGAGGGGGGGGGAGGGGGAGGGGGAGGGGGAGGGGGAGGGGAGGGGGAGGGGGAGGGAGGGGGAGGGGGGGGAGGGGGAGGGGGAGGGGGAGGAGGAGGAGGAGGAGGAGGAGGAGGAGGAGGAGGAGAGGAGGAGGAGGAGGAGGAGGAGGAGGAGGAGGAGGAGGAGGAGGAGGAGGAGGAGGGAGGAGGAGGAGGAGGAGGAGGAGGAGGAGGAGGAGGAGGGGAGGAGGGAGGGGGAGGGGGAGGGGAGGAGGAGGAGGAGGAGGAGGAGGAGGAGGAGGAGGAGGAGGAGGAGGAGGAGGAGGAGGAGGAGGAGGAGGAGGAGGAGGAGGAGGCGGAGGCGGAGGAGGAGGAGGAGGAGGAGGACGAGGACGAGGACGAGGAGGAGGAGGAGAGGAGGAGGAGGAGGAGGAGGAGGAGGAGGAGGAGGAGGAGGAGGAGGAGGAGGAGGAGGATGGAGGAGGAGGAGGAGGAGGAGGAGGAGGAGGAGGAGGAGGAGGAGGGGGAGGGGGAGGAGGAGGAGGAGGAGGAGGAGGAGGGGGTGTGCCGATCCACTGCCCCCGCGCCTCGAGACGAGGGCGCGAGGCGGCCGCTCCCCATATCTCGCAGGGCCTCCGGGAGCTCACCACCAAATATGGCGCCCTGCTGGTCTTCGACGAGGTGATGACGGGTTTCCGCATCGCGTACGGAGGCGACCCCGCTATTTGTCGGCCATGTGCAGAGGGGGGTTAGTCGGCGTCAACCCAACATACTTATACGTGCGTCGCCCCCCAGGGGGCGCCGCGCGCACCGAGAAATCTTATAGCACATGCATCGTGGCGGGCGCTTTCTGGCCACACCGCTCGGGAAAGGATATACTACAAGATGGATATACTACATGTTCGGGTCGGAGGCGCGCCTCCGAGCAGGACCTATAGTATTTGTATGTCTCTGCGCGTCCCAGTTAGGGGGAGTGGGGAAGGCTTCTTAGAGGCACCCCTCCCTGCTTCTTCGAAGGCACTGGCCTTCTGTAGATGCAAGGCCGGCGCCTTCTAAGAAGCAGCCTCCTTCTAAGAAGCCTTCCCCCCTCCCCCTACCCCCCTCTGCGCGCCACTTACTTTGGTTCCGCGGACGGCTTGAAAAGTGCACCGTACCGCGTTGGCGTCTCCCGAGGCGTCGCCGATCCCCGACCCAGGAATGGCACGGTGTGCACAGCTTGTCGGCCCTCGGAGCGCAAAAACTATGGACCGTGCCGCATTGGAGCGGGGCCTGGAGCGAGCCCAACTATGGTACGGTGCATGGGTGCCGTTCTCGTATTGGTGGGGCTTGGTTTTGCCTAAGTTACGCCGTATCGGGACCGCGCACTACCCTTTTCGCGGAAAGCATGGTGGAGGAGGGGGAGCATTTGAGGAGAACGGGGAGTGGGCAAAGGGGGTAAGAGCGGCTCTGACAATTGCACCACGGTGCGCGTCTTGCTGAGCAAGACTGCGCGTTCCTGCGTGAGCGTTACCGCAACCTCACTCGCACGGGCCCGCGTGAATAGCGCACCGAGTCCCCGTCCCTGCTTGAGACCCTGGCGGTGTGCGCTGTGTCCCCCGCGGTGAGCGGCGCTTGGCCAGCCTGCGGGTCCCGCCAGCGCGAGCGGGGAGGACACCCCCCAGGAGGCCGCTTTGGACCTCGAGGCGCCGGCGCCAGCGTGCCCGCAGTCTTTCTCGGGTCATTGCAACACCGGGGGTCGGCCAGAGCGCCGGATCTCGCAGGATCCTGCAGAGCCAGGGGTGCACTGACCCGGGCTTGGGTGCATCGAAGAGGAGAAAACGGCATGACCATGATTTTTCGGCGCTCCGCGCGGATTTCTTGGATCCGCGCTGGGCCCCCCCCTGGCGGCGCCTCCGGCGCCAGGGAGGAGGGTCCAGCGCGGATCCAAGACATCCACACGGATCGCCGAAAGTTTATGTTTATGCCGTTTTTTCTTTTGGTAGTGCAGAACCCTGCAGGACCCTGCAGGATCCTGCAAGGCCTGACTGACCCGGGTCTGGCTTGATCGGGGTCAGTAGATCCCCGAGGTTGCTGCTCTTGCCGTGCCCGGGCTGGCTGCCCCCCGCGCCGCCGCCACTGCGCCCATGGCGACCGCACATGTCAGGGGCAACGATAGGGGGGGGGACTGGCACATCCAGAGATCCGAGGACATGGTGGATTTCGGCCTCCGGGGCGCGTTATCGGGCTCGGTGACCAATTTTTTTTTGAATTGCCAGGAGGGAAAAAACACAGACACTATTAATCGTCGATTTCCAGGAAAATATGGCAAAATATGGGAAGTGGAGGGGAAGACCAGATTCAAGAAAATATGGAAAAAAAGTATTGTGAATCCTGAGATTTGTGCGTATTTATTTGTGTGTCTCTGGGCCCCTTCAAAGGTCAGTCGATCCCCGACTATTACTGCCGCCACATCTCGCTACTCGGCGCGCGGCGCAAGGGAGCACCGAGCAATCGGCGGCGGCAGCTCGGCGTGACTCAGCGGCGAGCGAGGGGGGAGAAGTGCGAAGGAGAAGGCCTTCTCAGAAGGCTCGGAAGCCCCCCGGCCTTCTGAGAAGTTTTCGGAGCCTTCCCCGAAGACGCGGAAGCCTTCTCAGAAGGCCGGTGGGCCTGAGCAGCCCCGCCGCCTTCTCTGAGAAGGCCTCCTCCTCCTCCTCCTCCTCCTCCTCCTCCTCCTCCTCACCTTCCCCGCCTCGCTCGCCGCCGAGCGGAAGCGGAAGCCGACAGAGGCTTTTCGTTGGCTCTGGTTCCGTTCGGTCCGTTCGGTTTTTTGGTGATGGGCCAATTTCCCACCACCACTACCATGTGTAGGACGGGGGAGAAGGGAGGATGGGGAGGTCCTCCTCATCTCTTCCTCCTCCTCCTCCTCCTCAGCTCCGCGACATCAACGGCGCCATCAGCACAATGAGGAGCGCCATCGGCATCACCGACGACAAGATGGGCAAGACCACGCACGGCCCGATGCCATGGGAGCTGGACTTCACGAGGCGCCAGTACGACGAGCTCGACAACATATACACGCGCTGGACGAAGGGCCCGCACGGCTACGCTTACGACGAGGCGTTCTTCGACGGCGACCTGCAGACGGAGCCAATGTTGGAGCCGCAGATGGAGATTAAGGACTACCTCCAGCCACCACGCAGGCCGCCGTGCACCAACCCGAGCAAGAGCATTGAGGGCTGGGAGAACCGTGGCAGGGTTCTCAGCAGTGAGGCGAGCTCGAGCACCGCCCCAGCCGCCGCCTCGGCAGTCACTAAGGATGACAGCTCAGGCCAGAGCAAGGACATCAGGCTGTCCTCGCCAAGGGCGGCAGCGGCGGCAGGCTGGGGCATCGGGCAGCAGCAGTAGTAGAGAGCAGACTGCACCAGGCCTGGACTCCCTTTTTTTTCTCTCCTCACTACCGTCACAAAGGAGAGCTCGGCAGCAAGCACTCAACGCATGAGCCAGTGCGGCCATGCAATACATACTACTAAGTCGAGGGCAGGGAGTACCAGGCCGCCTCTTTTTTTTGCCTCTCTTACCGTCCTGGGAGTGGGGGGGGGTGGGATGGAGGGGAGCGGTGGTGGGCGGGCTCTCAGCGGTGAGGGGTGCGCCCAGGGAGGCAGCCCCACACCGCCTGCAGCAGTCGTTATACTGATACCGTGGCTGGGTCACCCTGCTGGCGAGGCACGGGGCCCCGTCGACACTGGCGGGCCCCGACGCCTCAGGCGGCCCCCCCAAAGCGAGGGTGGGCCCGCATCCGTATGCATCCCAGGGGTCCAAGCCTTTTTCGGTAGGCGGCAAGACCAGACCCCCAAGGGCCTTATCCTTATTATCCTCCTCCTCCTCCTCCTCCTCCTCCTCCTTCTCCTCCTCCTCCTCCTCCTCCTCCTCCTCCTCCTCCTCCTCCTCCTCCTCCTCCTCCCTCTCCTACCTATGGTAGTGGTGGTGGTGGAAAATCGGCCCATCATTTGGTGTTTCTGGTCTGCTCCGGTCCGGTCTGGTCCGGTTCTAGGCTTTCGCCCCTCGGCTCGGCTCCGTCCCAGCATGTGCAGTGCGCCGCTATTCAGTGAGAAGTGGAGAGCCGACACCAGCCTCCACAATTACTGCTTTCCTGCGTCAATGTTCTTGAATTCTGGCGAGTGTACGCGAAGGTTGGTGCCCTGAAGGCGAGGCCATTGCCGTCGACTCGGCCCAAAGTTCCTCATGGGGGGGGCCGGGGGCGCTTTTCATCCGAGACAGTAATTTACACATGACCACCGCCTGGAGGATCAATTTTCGGTGACATCGGCAGGCGGTGGATATGGACCTATTCGGGCCCCTGGGGGCCAAAATGTATAGATCCAGATCCACCGCCCGCTGGGGCACCAGGACGTCGGTTCCCAGGGGGTGAATATGGATAGATCCCCGCCTCGCATTTCGTGCGTTCGCTCCACGGCCGTGCGCCTTCGGGCGGCGGGACTGGCGCGGCCGCGCATCTCTCTGCGCCACCTTGTGCCGATCGACGAGGGCCCTCGCCGTCGGAGCGTCGGGGACTCCTCTGCTCGCCCCTCCCTTGGTCAACCTTTCTTCTCCCCCTCCCCCACCCCTGCGGGCAATAGTTGTATCCACATCCAGTGCGCCTCGGCCTTGCGGCACCCCTTCCGAAAAAGTCCAAGACGCTCTGGATATGAATAAAGTATTGCCCGCAACTCCTTCCAGTAGCAAATCATGGGAGCCGTGCGTACCCTCTTGATTACGTCTTTAGCGTCGATTAGCGTCTGGGAGTCGATGAGGTAGTGCCGATTTAGCGTCGGTTAGCGTCGATTGACGCTGATTCAGCGTCGGCTAACGTCGATTCAGCGTCGACAGGTGTCGATTCGCAAGAGCGGACAAGATTGTATGGGATGTTCCCATGAGTTGCCACCGAGCTCCCCGACACGCGGCCCATAGGGCTACGCAACGCTCGCTTCCCGCCAGCCCCTCACGCTGTAGTGCGCCTAGGGCCTGCGCGGCGCGGCCGACACTGGCACATTGCAGCGTGCCCCCCCTTTCCAGGGCGATCGCGCCTCTGCGTTCCGATTTCCTCACTCTCCCCCCCTTCCCCCCCGCCTCTCCACCCCCTCCCCCTCTTCCTTGTCTCCATCCCGCTCCCGTCCCCCTCCCTCTGCCTCTGTCCCTCTCCCTTTCCTCTCCCCTTCCATCTGCCCCATCCCGCCCCTCCCCCTATCCCCGTTTTCCCTCCCTCTCTCTGCCTCTGCCTCTGCCTCTGGCCAAAACCTCGGGATCTGTCGCGAAGTTTCTGGAACCATCCCCATCGAGCGTGTTTGGCACAATAGTACACATCATAACACCCAACACACACAACACACGCAGCACACATGACATATGACACACAACACACATTGTACACAGCACACACCACCATATTGACCACACAGCTCGTCAGCCACAGTATACAGAAGACAGCACACCACTCATACCGAACCCACAACACACAAACACACTGCACACTCACACGGCACAACAAGCGCACACAAGGCATGCCTGACAGCACACCACGTGCAACACGCACACCACACGGCACGCTGCACGCAACCTACACGGCGCAGAAAGCATCGCACACCACACAACGCAAGACACAGTGCGCGCACTCATCGCTCGAGGATCTGGCCGCTTTTACAGTGCCCCTGACTTTCTTAGGTGAGTGAATGGCGCTGGGTAGACAGGAGATCAAGCAAGGACGACAGGAGCTTCGGAAGATCAGCGAACGCAGTGGAAAAGGCAATGGCTCGGGCCGGTCAAATCAGTACAATGCACTTTCGTGCTGGCGCTCGTGTTTCCAGCTTCCTACGGCACGTCCCGCCACCGTGCAAGCCCGCCATGCTCAGCGGCTCTCCTTCAAGAGGGGCTCCCGAGGCCGTACTTGCGAGGGATGAACATCATGCTGACGATGGTGTTGATGAGGTTGATGATGATGATGATGATGATGATGATGATGCTGTTCATGATGATGACGATGACGATGATGATGTTGATGATGATGTTGATGCTGATTAGTATTGTGATGATGATGACGGTGGTGGTGATGACGATTATGCTGATGATGATGGTGATGCTGGCGGTCATGCTGATGCTCAAGCTGATGCTGATGCCGATTATGATTATGACGATGCTGCTCATGATGATGATGGTTATGGTGGCGAGGGTGATGATGATGACGATCACGATGACGATGATGATGATGCTGATGATGATGATGATGCGGCTGATGATTATGACGTTGGGATGTTGTTGATGCTGATGATCATAATGATGATGACGATGACGACGATGACGATGATGACGATAAAGGCGATGATGATGATGATGAATCTGATGATGATGCTGCTGATGATGATGTGGATGATGATGATGATGATGATGATGATGATGATGATGATGATGATGATGGTGATGATGATGGTGATGATGGTGATTAATATGCTGATGATGATTATGATGATGATGGTGATCATGATGGTGGTGATGCTGATCATCATCATGCTTACGATGATGCTGACGCTACTTATGATGCTGCTGCTACCGCTGCTGCTGATGGTGGTGGTGATGACGATGATGATGATGATGATGATGATGATGATGATGATGATGATGATGATGAATTTGATGAATTTGATGATGATGATGATGATGATGATGATGAGGATGATGATGAGGATGACGATGCTGACCAGGATGATGAGGATGATGACAATGAGGATGAGTATGAGGATGAGGATGAGGATGATGATGATGATGATGATGATGATGATGATGATGATGATGATGATGATGCTGATGCTGATGCTGCTGCTGCTGATGATGATGCTGATGCTGATGCTGATGCTGATGCTGATGATGATGGTTGTGGTGGTGGTGATGATGATGATGAGGAGGAGGAATCTGATGAGGAGGGTTCGGAAGATGGGCAGGAGGCTGGATATGAAAGAGGAGGACGGGGAGGACGAGGAGGCTGGGAGCGCGGTGAAGGCGCGACCAGGGATGAGGCGCGGGCTTCTCCCGAGGTGCCCAGGAGTACTTCGGCGTCACCCCGGACGTCACGACGATGGGCAAGGCGGGCCCGCTCTGTGTGTGGGGGGTGGTCTGAGCCGGCTGTGTCGCTGCGCACTCGCCCGCCGAGGCAAAAGTGCACGTGCGTGCCAAGGCCCAGGGGATCTCTCAGAGTTGGCGTCCCTGGAGGGGGGCGGAGAGAGGGAGGCAGGGGAGGAGGAAGAGGAGGCACGTCCGCAAAAGCTTTGCCGCTGCAGATCGACAAGGGGAAGGGGTGGTGGAGTGCGTGGGAGCGCTTCTCGATGTTTTCCATATGTGTCCCCTAGTTCCGCCTGGCTTCGCTTGCTTTCGCCCTCGTACCTCTTGCGCCCTGCTTGCAGTCTCTGGAAATGCAGGTGCACATATATCTCGACAGAGGTCTGTCTTGCGATCCAATGCGTGAGGTCCGACTGGCAAGATTACGTGTAAGACGAGCACTGCAATGCGCACACACACACACACGCACGCACGCACGCACGCACACACACACACACACACACGCACGCACGCACGCACGCACGCACGCACGCACGCATGCACGCACGCACGCACGCACGCACGCACGCACGCACGCGCGCGCGCGCACGCACGCACGCACGCACGCACGCACGCACGCACGCACGCACGCACGCACGCACGCACGCACGCACGCACGCACGCACGCACGCACGCACGACACACACACACACACACACACACACACACACACACACACACACACACAC